CTGTTTCCAATATGTTAGAAAGATCTGTAGTTGCTTCTTGAGCCTGGGAGGGAGTCTTTGGTTGGTTATTTCCTGTCTTGTCCTGGAGGATTCTCCTCCCTCTACAAGACATTGTTTATACAAGAAGTAAGTTTTTCAAATTAAAGTAAAAGTTCATTGATTTGAAACCACTTGGAGCTATTTTGCACCTTTTAAGTTCGTTTGCAATCTTGTGCAGTTAATTTCGCTTTGTCTTTTCTATTTATTGATAAAGGACCATTTTAAATCTGGGGGGGCAGGAATCCCAGGTCTTCCTCCTTCCCATCGCTTATCTGTAGGTTGCTTCTTTTAACTCAGAGGGCTTAAAGGTTTATAGAAGTAGATGCTTAACTCACGATGTTTTGCCCTTTGAGTTACTTTGGAAGCTCTTTAACACCCAATTGTGTCTGTTTCCTTCGGTAGCTGATTCTAAATGCCATTTCTGCTCCACGGCGGCAGGACCTTTAGAGGAAGAAAGGGAGCCTCAGTTCTTTGGCCACCGCCTCGGAACAGGCTCTCTTTAGCTCCCTAGGCTGAGAGTCCCCTACATGGATTCCGGGGGGGGGGTCCGGACCCATCCAGGACCCCTCTCGCTCACTGCGTCTCGGCACATCCCCATCAGAGCTAGATGGGATGCGTCCAACCAGTGAATCGCCAAAGCCGAAAGTCACCTATTGTTTTTAATTCTTAAAATATTTTAGTGTATGGCTTATGAGCTATTAAACCTGAAAGTAAATATATAATGTTTTATATGTAACTAATTTAGTAGATTTGTTGTGCAGATGTAACCTGAAGCAGGAAACCTCATTTCTTCATGTTTAAGAAGTGAAAAATCTTGATATAACTAAGAATTATCCTGTCATTGTCCACTGTATATTTTTATATTTGTAAATCCTCAAATAGCAGGTTTGGGCTTGGTTCTTAGTGCAAAACTTTGATTGGCTAGAAGGTTCTTAGTTAATCCCATCTACTTGTTCATCAGAGCTGATTGAATTATGCAGAGCTGATTGCTTTAACTTAGGTTTCAGGGTGGGGAGGGTACAAGAATGAAAGCAGTGATTTAGAATAAACATTTGGTGCCACAGGGTTACTTGTAAGCAATGTTCTCTCTAAGCTGAGTTAGTGTGAGCTAGGTCACAGTTTTTTAGCCTCCAGCGTACACATTTTTGTCTTAGCTCAGGAAGATTGGCTGCAATAGCAAAATCGCTCACTCACAACTTTAATGCCAGTAGCTCACAAAGTAGAATTTTGCTCACAAGACTCCACAGCTTAGAGGGAGCATTGCTTTAGGCTGTTAAATTTTGCCAAAACTAGTAGTTGTATATTGTTTCCAACAATTCCTCATTGTGTTTATGTTGTACGTAAGTGGCTACATGCGAAATTAGCAAAACCAAAGGTTGTAATACAGAGGTCACAACAAATTAAGAACTGAAAAAGAACTTTGCTGTTTCAGTAGGGAACTTTACCAAGATATTTGGCAGGGTGTAGTGTATTCCAAGGTAGCTACAAAACAAGTGTTGCCAGTCAATCAAGATGCAAGTGGGTTTCACTGCATTTGAGGCTTACTACAAAAATAGGTTGTTTAGGTTTATAGTATCAATTGGGTAAGTTAAGGTAAAGTAGGCTTGTAATAGGCCCCTAGGTAGACAGGGTAGGGCCTCCCTATCTATTTATGGCCCCTGGGGAATCTTCTTTGTGGAAATATAACCCAATCATGACCATCAAAGTATGGTATTGATGAGATAAAGCCATCATTATATCTGCAGTGTTTTTCTTCTCCCTAGCCTAGATTCAGAGGCATGTGGTAGAGATGCTGCCAGTTTTTCCACCCAGCTTATTCTAATGTACAACCCATCTGTGTCCCCCTCATTCACTGGTGCTGTTACAAGAGTGAAAGCTTGTATGCTGTTGTAGCTGGACTGGGGGGGGGAGTCTGAAGGAAAAGGAAATAAGAGATGGGTTATAGATCTGTGGGATGAGGAAAGAGGAGAGTAACAGGGTGCAAAAATAAAGATGTGAAGTGATTGGTAGAGGTGCAAATGAAAGGTTGATGGTGTCAGAAGAATGCATGAACTAGAGATGTAATAAAGAAACAAGAGATGTGGTTGATAAATGTTAGAAACAAGGTCTGTCTCCCTCAGCCACACCAAGGGACACACCAAAGAAAAGAAAGTCAGTCTGGAGTATCCAATTAGTTGTGCTTTATTGACGCGATAAAGGGAATCAAACAAAAGCAAGCTCAATCAGCATTCCAAACGGCTCCATTTTTATTCCCTAGTCCTGACCGCAAAGTCCCTCCTTCGTTTCCCATAGGCCAAGGTAATTGAAGGTTACATTCTCTCCGACTGCCTAGTACATGCCAGCTCGTCCCCTTCCCTATCATACATCTACATACATTGTATGTGCATTTAAATTAGCTACTCAGCTATTCGGGGTGGACTAAAGAATATTCATGAAGGTATTGTGTGTGTTCTGTTAACTCTATTCTACCAAGACCATTTTTGCCTACTCAGCTACATTCCCTCTACTTCTTATCTTATTTATGGCTTTGTCAATGTTTCCTTTCTAGACAAACTGTAATTCTGAGTCTTTACATCTGCATTCAGCTCACTTTAATAATTTCACTTCCCTCAATAGATAAGAATATTATTTATTTAATTAATTAATTCAATTTATATCCCCCCCCCCGCCAGGCAGGCTCAGTGCGGCTTACATTAAAAAGTTAAAATACATTAAAACACAAATAACAGACATCATAAAACCATATACATAACATGTAAAGTGCTGGTGGCGGTATAACATTGCATAGTGATCCCAGTAGGCCATGGTGAATTCAAGTTAGGGATAATGTATGTGCCACAATAAATGCTCTTGCTGCAGTAAATATTAACATGGTAACTTCCTTCAAGGAGCTCAGTGGTTAACAGTGTGATGCAACCCTTTAGAGAGAATAGATATGTAATCATATACCACTGTGTGGTATGATCAATAAACTACTGTTTCTTATCTGTAGTTGGACCTTGGGCATTCAGCAAACTCAGGGTCTTTCCAAAGGTGCAGTTTGAACCTCATATAGACAGTCCCTATAGGAGAAGAGTTGGGAAAAGGTCTTCTGTGGCCCCGGTCACACGGGCTGGATATCCCGGGGGGAGGCGTGGCTAATTGCCCCAGCGCAGTTTGATCCGCGATTATGCGATCAGACGTGCTGGCGGCACACCACAGGTCCTTCCCTCAGCGCTGGCGGGTAAACAAGGGACCGGAGGGGAATGCTGCCTGCCGGCGCGATCACACCACGGGCGTCTGGAGGCAGCCTGTGGCAAACGTTTACCTTGGAGGTACTAGTTTTTTAACGCGCATTGTCGGCGGTAAGCCACAGGTGCGCTCCACTTCCCAGATGTTGGGGTGTGATCGCGCCTGGATAATCCGCCCACCATCCGTGCCTCTCCCATGGCAACTTTGTCGTGTGACTGGGGCCAATGTGTTGAGGAAGAGAAGACTCCAGTATTTGTCCTTAATATAAAGCTGAGCACATCTAAATAGTTCCATTGATTTTTCAGACCATAGTCTCTCTTCATTGCTGCCTCCATCTTCAACAGTGCAAGATTGCAAATGTGCACAGAATTGCAGTCTTAGACAAGGAAACTAAAGCATGTGTGTCTTTATTTTATTTTTCGTTATAATGTACTCTTGGGTGACATCCTCTTGGCACTGCTGCAGTCTTAGGCAGGTTTAATTGGAATCTGGGTCCAGTGAGAGAAATTTACATAGGCGAATAAGAAGCCTCATCTGAAGAACAAAGTTCCATACTCAAAGCAAGATGCGAGGAGGAGAGGGAAGCTGACCATTTTACATGCCCAGTTTAAATGAGACACTGGGTGGATTGCAAAGTCGTTGGTGAGCTTTTTCTGCATTGTCATTGTCACATTGAAATCTGGCCAAGATTTAGTGGTGTGTGAAGTGGGTGTGAGAACAACTCTGCAGGTTTAAGCTTAACTAGAGTGCAGTTTGACCAAGGCGCTGGCTCTTCGGCTTTGAAACGGATGAGCACCGCAACCCTAGAGTCGGACTCGACTGGCTTTCGAGCAAGGGAACCTTTACCTTTACTTTAACAGTAGAAAAGAGCAAGAGTCCAGTAGCACCTTAAAGACTAACAAAACATGTGGCAGGGGATGAGCTTTCATGAGTCACCACTGCTCACTTCTTCAGAGCAATGACTCGCAAAAGCACATACCCTGCCACATATTTTGTTAGTCTTTAAGGTGCTACTGGATTCTTGTAGTCTTCAGGAGTGCATTTGCTGTTTGTAATGAATATTACAAGAGCACCCTAAGTTTACAGTGTGCCTTAGCAACACTGCTGTCGCCCATGTAGCTTTGCTCTGCTTGTGGAATTAGAGAACAGGTGAGGATCTCTTACCCCTGCCACCTTAGCGGTACTTGGTATACTCAAATATATTCTGGACACGTTGTGCTCTTACTCGAAGGCATCGCAGCAGCGGGGGACAGAACCGACCGTAACACTTATGCAAAACGAGGAGTATTTTGGAGCATCAGTTTGCTTTAAAAATGTGTTTCCATGAGAGACCCAAAATGATTTGGAGAGAAATGCGATTGGCGCTTGCTGACGCGTGACGGGGACAGCTGCCATAACGAAGGCTGAGGGCTAAAAGTCAGACCCCGGGCTGGGCGGGAGGTGAAAGGCGCCCGCTACAAAAATTCCCCTCAGAAAGATGACGGTCTGAGGGGAGGAGGGGAGAGTCGTCACTTTAACCGTGGGCGGGGCTCGACAAAGCAGAGCGGCGCTGCTTCTCCTCACGCATGCGGCCTAACCTGACGTCCTCCGTCCCGTTCCTGATTGGCTCCACAGGAGCGCAGAGATGACCTCCCCTTCGCTGCGATAGGTTAACTCGGCGATTTGGGTTCCCCGGATGTGGGTACGTTAGAGCGGCTATAAAGGATTCCTGAAAGGGCGGGAGTGGACGCAGTTTTGAATTGCGGCGGGGCAAGGAGGGGGAAAAAAAAAACCCAAAACAGGCCCGTCTCCTGTGGCCTACCGTCTCCAAAACCGCCTTCCTCCAGAGCGACGAGTTCTCATTCATAATGGTAAGTAGCTTTCCCTTTTTCTGCGCGGATGAATGAGAGGGCCTTTTGGCATATGAAGCAAACGTTGAAGCTGTGGGGGGGGGGGCAGCAAAATGAGACATAAGTATCGCGCTGTTAATAGTTCATGGTGTACGTTTCCGTTACTTAAAGAGTAGCAAAGAAAGAGGGAAGATAACGCAGAGATGGAGGGGCGCGGTCAGACGCACGCTATTGCCTGTCCGCGGGCGTAATTTCAATAGCGCATGCGCTTTCGAGGTCGGTCGTCGTGGTAAGGGGCGCATGCGCGAAGAATTAGTAGGTGGGGAGGGGTCAAGAGAGCCGTGAGCGACGTGGTCTTAGGTGCGCACGCGTCCTTTGTGGAAACGGCTTCTAAAATGGGCATGATGCAGA